CACTGTTTTGATAAACAAAATTTCACTTATTGGATTCACCTTACATAGAAATGGAGACTAAATGTGGCCAGTGTTTACCACAGACCATCTTACAGTACAAATCAGTTGTTATTGCCTTTCAACTAGCAAAACCCATGGCTACTTTCGGTCGTGCAATCGCCGTTCGACAATTGACATTCGCCATTTTATCCGACAACCTTTTTTGAAACATCATAACACAGAAAAATATGTTTTTGTGTTTTCTCCAGAATAAATTTCCTTAAAATTTGCTATTTAAAAACGATTTCTGTTATAAGACACCCCAACAATCATCGCCATACAGTGCGCCATCTTTCCTGTGTCGTGATATTCAGTCATGTGACTGAAACAACCAATGAGACCTCATCTATATCACAGGACTGCATGAGCCATCGTTTGATTTGGCGCTCGAATTAATTCAAACCGTTTCTCAGTTGTGAACCGCGGTCTTTCGTCTTTGTTTTCTTCTTGTATATTCAAACATTTAAGCTTGAAATGGAGTAGAAAATAAATTAGTCAGTGTCCTCGAAGATAGAGACGATGTCCGATGTGACAAGGGAGCTGGAAGATCCGTTCTACGCTGGAAGTCGTTTGATCATTTACAGTGAGTTACCAATTCTCGGTTTGCACTGATCACGTGATATTCTAAAAATGCTATTTAGAGGCACAATTAGCGGAATATTATTATTGTCYTCAAGAGAAHATCTAAATTAAAGGATCACTACGAAATTTCGAGCGAAAATAATGCTTTTTAACAGAAATACGAGCRATCGAAAATTGGTAAGAATGTATGGGATTATCACGGCTCAATGCGTTTTAGACTGGTCAAGAAATACCTACAAAAATCTTTGTTTTAAGATCGAAATGAATATTTTATATCCAAGGCCAAGAACAGCATATAATTCCCAGCATTTATGCAAAGTTTGAAGTCAAACTGAAATTTTGTAGCAAAAATATAAGCGTTTGAATACGGTCTTACTTTACAAGGGAATGTATGGAAAGCCATGACTGTGTACTAATCCAGTACACGAACATGGCGGACAGTAACTCCGAGCGTCGAATTGAGGTCAAAACTAATGATTTTGCTTTAGTTTTACAACAATAACATTTTAAACATTTAATTTAATGCTGAGACTATACTTGTTTTAAACTTAATAGGCTTTCTGAGGTTTATTTGTCGCGTTTCAAGTCGCGTGACAGTATTGCGTGACATATTTTTGAACGTTAATAACTCAACGAATAAACAGCAAAAAAAGTTTAAACTTTCGGAGAGAACTTCTATCATGCTCTTCAAGGTATTTTAGTGCTGCAATGTTGTGTGTCTGTGATTTAAGATTTTTTTTCGACTGATGACGTCATGTGCAAACCGAGAATATTAAAGCGAGTATTNNNNAAGAGGGTCTCAATGGGGTTAACCGTGAGCCGTGAAACGGCTAAAAAATTAGCCGTGAATCGTAAAAATGAGAAAAATTAGCCGTGAAACGGCTGAAAAATTAGCCGTGAGTCGTGGAAATGTGAAAAAAATTAGCCGTGAGGCGTGAAAAAGCCTGAAATTTTTAGCCGTGAGTCGTGATGCGGACCCCCCTATTGAGACCCTCATTTTTAAAATCTTTTACTTAGGTTATATTAGGAWTTATAGGCAATGTTTTACTATCTAAAGCATTTTCGAAATTAGATAAGAACTATTTCTTAGCCGCTAAAAAGCGCCGTGCGTCCTTCGCAGCCGTGTTTTAAGAGGGTTAGGGGGTTATCCGGGTTAGGTTTTAAGATACAAAAAATGTAACTTACCAGTAGCCAGTCCGGCTGAAGTACTAACACCAGGTGTCTCTAAGATAGGAAATCAAAACATCAATAAGCCCATGTTAAAATAGTGCAGGATAACATAATGCGTCTAACAATTTGAATACCAGAACGTACATCACAAAGAATATAACTTACCAGCAACCTTAGAGGCGGACGTGAACACTGGTCTCTAAGTTAAAAAATTGCAACATCAACAAGTCCATGTGTGAAATATGAAACACATCCAATACGTATGCACGTTCAGAACTTAGAAAATGACATGTCAGGCCTTTATGAGCAAATTATGCAGTCACTGCAAGTCTGTGACATTACGGTATTTTTTTATAACTATTCCAAATTAACATTTCTTTATAATTCTTACATTGTACAACTTACCCACACTCWGGCGGCCTATCATTGCTTTTAGGAAACTTATTTCTATACGAAATACAGAGATATATATTTCAAAAAGAACTAGTATTATTGAATATGATCATAACTGTTAACAAAAAATACTTAACAATACTGTATGTACTTTATGTATGGTTAGTAGCGCTATATATGTAATGCTATTGTACGCTTTTTGTACAAAAAAATAGTGGAAGATTAACACAGYTGCCATACCTGACGTGGCCTTCTTCAACTTTTCGGACATTTCTACACATATACAAAAAGTACGATATTCAMCGTTTGTTCAACTGCATGTTCATATTATATAATATCCTATTCTAGTCCATGAACTATACAATGTCTATTCACAGTCCACCAATGAACTACAGATCCAACAAATTGCTCACCGTTGTTCGCTCTCTGCACGTCTTGTAACTCTATGAATGAAAAAGAACTGTATTAGTCGCTGAACTACAAAGGTATGAATAAGGTGAGTATTAAATACCATACTACAATACTTATATAAAAGGCTACTAACATGTATGATASACCAACACAAAATTCTTGGCACATCTAAACACAACATTATAATGTACTTGGTCCACAATAAACCATCACATAAACGTGTCTACTGCAACATGGTACATAAAGACCGTCATATGAAATATCGGACGCCATATAATTTTCACCARCATCTTTTTCGATGCATCTACAATACACTCTCGAACCCTTCAGCCTATACAAAAAGCAGTCTGCATTGCAAACTAAATGTTGTGGATTCAATAATAGATAAAAACAAAACAACATTTTTTTGTGATACAAATTGAAATACCTCTCTTCAATCTGCAGCTTTCACCAAGGACTTCTACACATCAAATAGAAAAATAAAGATACTTAACTCTTGCTCAACTGCAACTTTATATTRTATAATATCGTTTTAGAGTACACAAACTATCAAATTCAGGTCCACAGCCCAACAATACAATACACATCCACCATCCTGCTCACCGTCCTTCCATTTCTTCATTTCCTGTAATTCTATAAGTATATAATAACTTGTATCAACAGCTGTGACAAAGGTATTAGGTGAGAAATACACACACTTCATGGCACAGATCAAAACAAAACTAGACATACTAATCCACAATAAA